TGGCTGGGGGAGGGGCTCTTACCTTTTGGTGATGATGTTTACAGGGTACAGGACTGGGATCTGCAGGAGGGCTCTGTTATTTTCAAGGCTCCCGTTCCTCTCATTGTCACTGCAGGGGAGGGTGAGATGGACAAGCTGGGAACCCATTATAGATCCCCCCAGGCCTGAATGTGAGCGAGGCTCTCCGCCCCACAGAGCCAGAGCCCCACGGCAGGCCTGATGCTTGCACCTTAAACCCCAGACAGTCCAAAGTGCATTACTGGCTCAGCTCTGATACGGCCACCCCGTTCCCCAGCACTGAGCTGCAGCCGCCTCTGGGGTAGGGTGCAGGACACAACCCAGCGTGCTTCGGGTGCTGTCCCCAGTGCTGCTCTCCGTGGCTCAGGACACAAGCCTCCACTTGGCAGTGCTCAAGCCCTGCTTGCCATGGGGCAGGACCAGGGGGCAGCCCCAGAGGCAGCCTGGGCCAGGTGACGTGGCTACTCCAGAGCTCTGCTCCCACCTGCTGGCCATGACCTGCAGCTCCAGAAAGTCCTCCCAGGAGCTGTCGCTGAGAACGTCAAACAGCAGCTGGAACAGAATCTGCACAGGGCAAGAAAGACCAGAGTCAGCACAGGCTGCCAAGAGGACTGTGCCCCCTCCCGCGTGCCCCCCCGCAGCACAGTGCCCCCTAGTGAGTGTCCCCAGTGAATAATCCTGGTCCCTGCAGCACAGCGCCCCCTAGGGAACACTCCACCTACTCCCTGCAGCTCAGCCCCAGCTGCGTCTAGACTGGCAAGTTTTTCCGCAAAAGCAGCTGCTTTTATGGAAAAACTTGCCAGCTGTCTACACTGGCCGCTTGAATTTCCGCAAGAACACTGACGATCTCATGTAAGAAATCAGTGCTTCTTGTGGAAATACTATGCTGCTCCCGTTCGGGCAAAAGCCCTCTTGCACAAATGATTTTGCGCAAGAGGGCCAGTGTAGACAATGCAGTATTGTTTTGCGCAAAAAAGCCCCGATGGCGAAAATGGCGATCGGGGCTTTCTTGCACAAAACCGGGTCTAGATTGGCACGGACGCTTTTCCGTAAAAAGTGCTTTTGCGGAAAAGCGCCTGTGCCAATCTAGACGCTCTTTTCCGCAACTGCTTTTAACGGAAAAACTTTTCCGTTAAAAGCATTTGTGGAAAATCATGCCAGTCTAGATGAAGTCTTCTAGTACCTCACTGGGGGTATGTCTACACTTACACCCTCTTTCGAGGGAGGGATGTAAATGCAGACATTCGAAATTGCAAATGAAGTGGGGATTTAAATATCCCATGCTTCATTTGCATAATCACGTTATGGTGCTATTTCGAAATAAAAACGCTCTGTCAATGAGGTTATTTCAAAAGAAAACCCTTCTTCTGAAATAATCCTTAAAGGGTCATCGCAAGAGCATGCAAGTGTAGACATACCCTGAGGCATTGGCACAGCACTACTGAGCCCCACTCCTTGGAGTACAGCACCCCCTAGTGCAGCCCCATGACCCAGCATCCTGCCGACTCACCGAACTGTTCCCCCAGTAGATCGGATGGCTGATATTACAGGAAAGGTTCCTGAAGTTGGTGTCGGGGGCCACCAGGCCATTGCAGCTAATTCTGGCCTGGACATTGCGCTGTGAGAGGAAACACCCATAAGAAATAAGCCGTTGGAGCCAAGAAGGCTAATGGCATCTTAGGGTGCATTAAGAGGAGTCAGCAGTTCCAGAGACGTGATTATTCCCCTTTATTCGGCTCTGGAGAGGCCACATCTGGAGTGTTGTGTCCAGTTCTGGGCCCTCCTGCTCTAGGAAGGATGTGGATACGTTGGAGAGGGTCCAGTGGTGGGCAGCTACAACGACTAGGGGGCTGCAGCACAGGACCTATGAGGAGAGGCTGAAGGATTTGGGCTTATTTATCAGCCTGTAACTCCCTGAAGGGGGGTTCCAAAGAGGCCGGAGAGAGGCTGTTCTCAGGGGTGACGGATGGCAGACCGAGGAGCAATGGGCTCAAGTTGCAGTGGGAGAGGTCCAGGTGGGATATGAGGAAAACTATTTCCCTGGTTGGTGAAGCGCTGGGCTGGGTTCCCTCGGGAGGGGCTGGACTCTCCATCCCTAGAGGTTTTGAAGGCCTGGCTTGACAAAGCCCTGGCTGAGATGATGGAGTTGGGGTTTGGTCCTGCTTTGGACAGAGGGCTGGACTTGATGACTTCCTGACATCTCTTGCAGCCCTAGGATCCTATGGGGCGGGGGAGCAAGGTCAGGACCTCAACATGCCTGGAAACATGCCAAGACACCCAACTCCAGCCAGACAAACCACCCTCCCCCTCGTGCTCCAATTTGGTCCTGCCCCACGGCACATCCCCCACCCCCTGAGCCTAGGTCCCAATCAGAGCAGGCACCCCTGGAGGGGACGGGCCCCATGTCCTAGTCCCTTTCTGCATGAGGCAACCAGAGACCAGTCCAGAAGAAAGCTGCCCTGAGTGTCTCAGCACAGGAGAGGTCTGCTGGGTGCCTCCCTACCTCCAGCACCGAGGCCTTGCGGAAGGACAGCCCCGGCGGCAGGGGCATATGGACAGTGGCGCGGTAGGCATCTTCCCCATCATTGATCAGCTTCAGAACCACCTGCAGTGCGTCAGAGGGCGACACCAACAGCGCCTTCGACCTGCGGGAAGGGCAGGAGCAAGGGACCCAGTTGAACAGCAGCTCCCCACACGGAGCAGCAGGTAAAGAGCGGGGAAGGGGACTGAAAAGAACCCAGGTGTCTGGGAAACAGGTGGCACATGGCAGCAGATCCCATCTCTGCTTCCCATGATCTGGTTTGCCTCCTTCTCCCGCCAATCCATGGATGAGATAAGAGAGGAGAACAATTGGGAGGCCCCCTCCTGGCAGCACAGCGCCCCCTGCTGGGCCCCTGCCTGCTGCCTGCAGCACAGTGCCCCCCGCCTGCTCCCTGCAGCACAGCGTCCCTTGCTGGGTCCCACCTGCTCCCTGCAGCACAGCACCCCCCTGCTGGGTCCCACCTGCTGCCTGCAGCACAGTGCCCCCCGCCTGCTCCCTGCAGCACAGCGCCCCCTGCTGGGTCCCACCTGCTCCCTGCAGCACAGCACCCCCCTGCTGGGTCCCACCTGCTCCCTGCAGCACAGCACCCCCCTGCTGGGTCCCACCTGCTCCCTGCAGCACAGCACCCCCCTGCTGGGTCCCACCTGCTCCCTGCAGCACAGCACCCCCCTGCTGGGTCCCACCTGCTCCCTGCAGCACAGCACCCCCCTGCTGGGTCCCACCTGCTCCCTGCAGCACAGCACCCCCCTGCTGGGTCCCACCTGCTCCCTGCAGCACAGCACCCCCCTGCTGGGTCCCACCTGCTCCCTGCAGCACAGCACCCCCCTGCTGGGTCCCACCTGCTCCCTGCAGCACAGCACCCCCCTGCTGGGTCCCACCTGCTCCCTGCAGCACAGCACCCCCCTGCTGGGTCCCACCTGCTCCCTGCAGCACAGCACCCCCCTGCTGGGTCCCACCTGCTCCCTGCAGCACAGCACCCCCCTGCTGGGTCCCACCTGCTCCCTGCAGCACAGCACCCCCCTGCTGGGTCCCACCTGCTCCCTGCAGCACAGCACCCCCCTGCTGGGTCCCACCTGCTCCCTGCAGCACAGCACCCCCCTGCTGGGTCCCACCTGCTCCCTGCAGCACAGCACCCCCCTGCTGGGTCCCACCTGCTGCCTGCAGCACAGTGCCCCCCGCCTGCTCCCTGCAGCACAGCGTCCCTTGCTGGGTCCCGCCTGCCCCCTGCAGCACAGCGCCCCCTGCTGAGTGCCGCCTGCTCCCTGCAGCCCAGTCTGTGTGCTATACGTGTTTTCGTGGAAATGGATTTTCAGGTCGGCTTCGCACTTCTCATCCTTCCCACAGTTCTTCTCGAAGGGGATCTGCAAGAGAGATCAGAGCCGGAAAGTTAATGTCAGATCAGGTGGACTGGGTGGGCCTCCTGCTGGATCAGTCCCGGAGACCAGCCAGCCCCCGCAGAGCCGAGTGAGGCCAGTCTGAGCCCCCTCACCTCTGTTACAGCCGAGTTGTACAAGGGGTTCAGTACTGGGAGCCAGCTAGTGATGTTGTCCTCTTCGAGGGCAAAGCGCAGCAAGATATTGATTGGAGTCACGTAATCCTCAATGCAGTTCTGAACAGAGAGTGAGTGGAATAGAAACAGCATCAAGCCCCACCCCAGAGGTGGCTGCATCTCAGTGCCCAGCGAGGGATCCCCTATAACCAGTCCTCATGCTTCACCCCAGAGGTGGCTGCATCTCAGTGCCCAGCGAGGGATCCCCTATAACCAGTCCCCATACTCCACCCCAGAAGTGGGCACACTGTGGCACTGGATAATGGACCCTTTGTATCAACAGCCACCATGCCCTGCTCCCAAGGCAGCTGCACAATTAGCCCAATGGTTCCCCCTGGGGACCACAGTGGAGCCTTACCCCAATTTGGAGCCGCTCGTTTATGCAGTGCTCCCCATCCAAGATGCTCCAGCTCCTGGACATGTTCCTCTGCCCGTTTCGTGCAGTTGGCATCCACCTCCAGCCAGTAGGTGAGGTTGGCAGAGAGCGGCTCTGGTGGGCAAAAGGGGGATATGTGGGAAGGCTGGACTCTGGGCATGTGGGGTCAAGCAGGGGGAACTGGGGGACAGGTCACTCTGGGCTCTACTGGAGCTCTGGGAGAGGAATGGGAGCTACCAGGTTAGCGTGTGTGGGGGGGTGTTTCTGACCTCGGTAGCGCACAGTGGCTCGGACGGTGTTGAAGCAGACGGTGAGTGTAACCTGAACACCCTGCTGGGAGGCAGCAGCCCCTGAACACTCCACCTGCTTTACTGGGATTTCCTTTGGCAAAAAATGCATCGTGGGCGAGCGGGGAAAACCAGCGACGGGGTCACCCAGCCCCGCCTAGAGGAGATAGCTTCCTGCCCCACCCCGCACCCCCCCATCCAGCCAGTTCCTCCAGCCCTCAGCCCAGGCGGGACCCAACCGAGGGGAAAAGCCCCAGGTCCCACTCCCGGGCGCCTGGAAAACAGCTGCACCTCAGCACGAACACCTCTCCGAGAGCCCCGACGGCGATGTCTGTGAGTCCGTCCCCTCCCAGGTCCATCTGTCCGTGAATGGACTGGCCGAAGTATTTCACACCTGGAGAGACTGTTGCACCTTCAATTCTCTGTGGGACACAGAGCCGGAAAAATCACATCAGTCTGGGAATGTGACTGGCAGATTCCTGCAGCACGCCCCCCGGCCTGTAGCGCCCCAGGGGATGGTACATGGCCAGGATGCCACAGCCCAGACCCTTACAGCACAGCGCCCCCTAGTGCCAGGCTGGAGACAGGTCACAGCCCAGACCCTTACAGCACAGCGCCCCCTAGTGCCAGGCTGGAGACAGGTCACAGCCCAGACCCTTACAGCACAGCGCCCCCTAGTGCCAGGCTGGAGACAGGTCACAGCCCAGACCCTTACAGCACAGCGCCCCCTAGTGCCAGGCTGGAGACAGGTCACAGCCCAGACCCTTACAGCACAGCGCCCCCTAGTGCCAGGCTGGAGACAGGTCACAGCCCAGACCCTTACAGCACAGCGCCCCCTAGTGCCAGGCTGGAGACAGGTCACAGCCCAGACCCTTACAGCACAGCGCCCCCTAGTGCCAGGCTGGAGACAGGTCACAGCCCAGACCCTTACAGCACAGCGCCCCCTAGTGCCAGGCTGGAGACAGGTCACAGCCCAGACCCTTACAGCACAGCGCCCCCTAGTGCCAGGGTGGGAAATGGGGCATGGCACTGATCCCTCAGCACCAGGTTAGTAGTGGGGCACAGCCAGGATGCCCCAAATCACCGCGCCCCCTTCAGCCTCTCCTGACCTGGCTGTACTCTGTGTTGAGCCCCGTTGGGTGGCCGTTGTAGATATAGACAGCGCCCCGCTCCTCGTTCTCCAGCGGCGCCCCCACGGCTACGTCAGCCCAGCCGTCCCCGTTCAAGTCAGCCAGTTGTGTGATGGCTGCTCCGAACCGGCCCAGTGGGTTCCCCATGGCACCCTGTAGCACTGTGGTGTTGGTGAGCCTGGCCTGAGGAGTGAGCACAGAGAGGTTAGGTACAGGGCCAGCGCCTCCAGCCCTGGGAACGCCCTAGTGCACCCCCTGCTGGGAGCCCAGCATAACAGTGGGAACCCCCTACTCCCTCCCAGGAGAGTGACCCTGCTGGGGAGAGCCCCATCACCACACCTGTAGCCCCAGGCTGACCACAGCACTGTCTATGCCCCCTACTCACCTGGTCCCAGTGATAGATATGGACCCTGCCCCCACTCCTCTCCTCATAGTACAGTGGGGACCCCACTAGGAGCATGTCCGTGTCCCCATCCCCGTCCATGTCCACAGAGCACAGAACTGCCCCAAAATAGGAGCCAATCTACAAAACAAAGGGAGGTGGGGGTCAGAGAGGTTGGGAACAACCGCAGCGCCCCCTGCTGAGCCCCCACCTGCTCCCCGCAGCACAGCGCCCCCTACTGAGCCCCCACCTGCTCCCCGCAGCACAGCGCCCCCTACTGAGCCCCCACCTGCTCCCCGCAGCACAGCGCCCCCTACTGAGCCCCCACCTGCTCCCCGCAGCACAGCGCCCCCTACTGAGCCCCCACCTGCTCCCCGCAGCACAGCGCCCCCTACTGAGCCCCCACCTGCTCCCCGCAGCACAGCGCCCCCTACTGAGCCCCCACCTGCTCCCCGCAGCACAGCGCCCCCTACTGAGCCCCCACCTGCTCCCCGCAGCACAGCGCCCCCTACTGAGCCCCCACCTGCTCCCCGCAGCACAGCGCCCCCTACTGAGCCCCCACCTGCTCCCCGCAGCACAGCGCCCCCTACTGAGCCCCCACCTGCTCCCCGCAGCACAGCGCCCCCTACTGAGCCCCCACCTGCTCCCCGCAGCACAGCGCCCCCTACTGAGCCCCCACCTGCTCCCCGCAGCACAGCGCCCCCTACTGAGCCCCCACCTGCTCCCCGCAGCACAGCGCCCCCTACTGAGCCCCCACCTGCTCCCCGCAGCACAGCGCCCCCTACTGAGCCCCCACCTGCTCCCCGCAGCACAGCGCCCCCTACTGAGCCCCCACCTGCTCCCCGCAGCACAGCGCCCCCTACTGAGCCCCCACCTGCTCCCCGCAGCACAGCGCCCCCTACTGAGCCCCCACCTGCTCCCCGCAGCACAGCGCCCCCTACTGAGCCCCCACCTGCTCCCCGCAGCACAGCGCCCCCTGCTGAGCCCCCCGCTTGCTCCCTGCAGCACAGCACGCCCCCCATGGTCCCATTCTCACTTGCTTGCCCTTGATGTGCTGAATATCTGTCCAGTTGGTGCTGTCGGGGTGTGTTTGAAACACGACGACCATCCCAATGTGCTGGTAGCGGGGGGCGCCCACAGCATAGAGCGTTCTGTTCTGGTGCTGCATGGACTTCACCGCGTAGCCTGGGGGCAGGAAACACCTCGGGATGAGAGGGGGAGGCGCAGGCCTCGCTAGCT